GAGGGGGGGAGGGAGGAGGGAGGAGCGAGGAGAAAGGAGCGAGGGGAGGGCGGAGACGGGCGAAGGAGACGAGGCTGGCGGAGCGTCTCACCCGGCGCGGCGAGCCGCATCTCGCAGCTCCTCCTCTGTAGCGTCCGGCTTGCCGAGGGCAATGTTGTCGCGCAGCGAGCCGCTCAGCAGGACTGGCTCCTGCGGCACCACTGCGACGCACCTGCGCAGGAAGGCTCCGAGAAGCTTCGGGGCAAGATCGCGGACCATCCCGAGGGGGCGGCGACGCACTCGCGGCGGAGCTGGTCCGGGTCGAGCGTGGACACATCGACACCGTCGAGCAAAACGCGCCTGAGACAGTGTGTGCTGTTGACATCGCGTGTTTTGTCAACACTAGTCGAGGTCCCACACGCGCCCTCCCGCAAGCTCGTACAGGGCTAATCTCGGCCATATCTCGGCGATGTCTCGCCCCCCCGCAGGCTCGTACAGCCCCGTGAGGAGGGAGATGAGCGTCGACTTGCCTACAGCGAGATATGGGGAGATATGGGGAGATATGGGGAGATATGGGGAGGGAGATGAGCGTCGACTTGCCTACAGCGAGATATGGGGAGATATGGGGAGATATGGGGAGATATGGGGAGGGAGATGAGCGTCGACTTGCCTACAGGACGCAAACGTCGGGACACGTCGCGGACACCATGCTTCTGCATGTGTTGATGTTGTCCTGGTACGTGTCGTGGGGAGAGGGGGGGTCGGCTTACCTGAGCCACTCTGCCCAATCACGGCGACACGCTCCCCCTGCCGCACGCGCAAGCTGAGCCCGTCGAGGATCGTCTCGGCCGGTCGCGTCGGGTAGGCGAACCGGAGGTTCTCGAAGGCGACCTCCCCGCGGCAGTCCGGCAGCGTGCCGGACCCGGTCAGAGGAGGCGGGCGGCCGATGAGGGCGAGAACGCGCTCCGACGCGCCGGCGGCGCGGCGCAGCTCGGCGTATGCGGTGGCGATGTTGCCGGCGTTGAAGCCGAGGAAGAGGGTGTACATGAAGAAGGAGGAGAGCTCGCCGTAAGAGAGAGCGCCGTCCAGCACCTGCTGCCCGCCGACCGCGAGAACCGACAGCAGAGACGACTGCATCGCGAGCCCCACGCCCGACTCGACGGCGGCGGCGTACAGCCCTGCGGTGGCTGCCTCGTCCCGCGCGGCCCGCACGCGCTCGTCGTACCGCTCGCTCGCGAGCCGTTCCGCCGCGAAGAGGCGCAGCGTTCGCACGTTGAGCAGCGCCGAGTGAGCCTCTGCGGCGGCGGCGGCGAGCGCCTCTTGCACCGCCCTCT